GTATAACTGCTGCCAGTTGTTGAATAAATTACACCCACCAAAATTATATTTTGTGCACCTGAAATAGAAGATTGATGAATAAAATTCTAAGCTTTAGGATACATTATTTTGCAGTAAAGCATGATTGCAGTACGAGTCCTAACCTCACTGTTCAAAGAGAAAGTTCTCATCAACCTTCCTCCCAGTCCACATCTTCATCTTCATCCACATCTGCTGGAGCAACATCAGCTTGAACATTCAAATCATTGACCTTGTAATTTTCATTTCCAGTACCTGTTTGAAAGCCACCCAGATAAACATAAGTGAAACAAATAAAAAAGAAACATAAAAAGGAGGCAGTCATTCTGCAATATGTGTGATCGGAGAAATAATACAGAAGGTACAATACTTAGTCCCATCATCAACAACATTTTAAGACTTGTCTCTAGAATATATGACTTCCTGGCTTTAAGATGAAGAAGAAGGAAGAGCACATTATATGTATAATTCAAAGTACATTATATTACTATGCTTGAGGTAAGCATTTCAAAGATGATAAAAAGCCAATTCTTGTTTTGAAAATCATAAAAATATCAATTTTAAAGGTTCAACGTACTAATCCAAACTAATCATGAAAAAACTGTTAATCTTCAGTCAAATACACTTTATTATCCTAATAATTTAATGTTTTAATACACTTTCTATCCAAATTTATAGTATTAAGCCCCTTCCAGTTAGGTTTATCATCTTGTACAACAATATACAAAGCTAAAATTTTTATTCAGTAGTAATAGATTAATAACTGTAACCTATAACTATAGTTATTAACCTATAACTATAGATTAATAACTGTAACCTATAACTATAGTTATTAACCTATAACTATAGATTAATAACTGTAACCTATAACTTAAGACACCGCGACAACTGTCCTTCCACCTTTAGGAACTACCAACAAGGATTGCATTACATAATCCTAATTGTTTTTACCATAGCCATCATTGCCAAGACACTATGCCAATGTTGCAACTGGCAATGTCAGTTAGAAAACTCGTCAACCTCAAAACTAATGATGAAAACTAAACATCATAGTAACCCCAACCGTGATAGAAGCATTTAATTTCACATTCGTGTTTTCAAAAAATTGACTCTTGTAACACATCCAGCTTTCCAAACCACTAGGATCAGCAGTGGAGGGGTTTCAACAGTATGCATGCACGAGGTCAAATTTCAGTATAATCATATTTAAAAATAAAATCCAATTTTCCATTTAATTATTTCACGAGTGTAATTAAGTCATAAAATTTGTCCTCATTTGGATTAGCAAAGTCTCATGTCAAAAAGTAAAAAAGAAAAGATTCTCCCAAATTTTCTGATTCCCATCCTTAAAAGTATTTTAACAATTTGGATACCCCAGTAAAACAAAGCCACAGCAAATTACAGAAATCCATTTCCCAGCTCCTATTATTCAGGTTCATCTAACAAACAACCAGATGAATGTGGTCCAAAGTTCAAAGCAGGAAAAGTCTGGTTACCAACTGATTCTAAGCAAACTAATTAACTTGCTCTTAATTATTGGTTGACGCTGAGAACATGGATTGGAACAATGATGGAGTAACCTAAAATAATCTTAAATTGATAAAAAGGACAAGGGCGTAAAATCTAAAGATGAATATAAGGTGATAACAATCCATATTAAGATTAAACGGACAGTTTCAATCAATTGAATCAAATTTTCAATCAGTACTACCGTAAAAATCTAAATGAAACATTGTCCGGAAAACACAATGAAAAATAAATTCTTTTTACTGAGCATCTAGATTTGTATATGCACATATAAACACTGTTCCAAGATGTCCTCAAATCACCTTCAAAAGACAAATTACCTGCAACTGGTGCTTGCTCCCAGTCTGTACCATCATCATCATCATCTTCCTCATGTTTTGATTTGACGCCAATTTGACGAATAGAAGCACGGCTAGAAGGATCATTTCCAGTAAATGTATCTGACAAGTCTTGTTTTCTAGAAGCTTCCATTTCATGTTGTTGTTTAAGCAGAGCAGCATAATAAGCCTTGATATACTCATCCTACAAAGAGAAGAAAAAAACCAGAACATAAGTGAATAAAAGTTTGAGAACCTTCACATAGAAGGAGCAAGGAACTAAAGTGAAATAACAAGATAAAAGAAAAATAAAACAATAGCTTCTCAAATAGTACATGCCTGTATATTTTTTTTATCATCATGATCAACCGTTGATTTCTTGTCATCCGAGTACTGTGCTGATGTGGAAGTTGAAGTCCCATCCATTTTTATTTCCTCTTTCACCTCTCCTCGTTGTTCTTTTGTAAGAACCATCCCTGATTTTATCATCCATGGTGGCAAAACCTTTAGAGATGAACTTTCAGTTTCAGACTTAACATCATGTCTATTGCCTTCAGTCCCATTGAAGTCCACCACAACCTGTTGACATCCAGCACACCTTACATTTATTCATGTATCAATTATATTGAGACAAGGGAAAAGAATTGTTACATTAAACTGCTGGTAATTATATACTTCACAAGCTACATATACAAATATAAACCCAGAAAATCTAATGGATGGATGTTTGTACGAAATTAGATTAACCTATGAATGTCACATCGCATTTTTTCTACACATCTTAATACAATAAAAACCTGCCCATACTGGGGTTTGTTACTGATCCTTACTTAATCGGTCCCAAAGCCCAGATAAAACTTAAGAGGGATGTTAAGCAATTGAGGGATATGTAAAACTTCATTGAATTTCAGTGACATGGATCAATGAGATGATAATGTTGTGTCAATTTATTTCATATATCTGGTTTTACCAATTTAACTAAAAAATCACAGGTTGAACCAGTGACCATTAACCGAGTACCACAACTGAGTTTATCTCTGATCNGAGGATTTAATTTGATAGTGCACTAACCTTAGCAATTTGATTATTCCTTTTTATTTCTTATGTCAATTTTTTCTTCTAAACATCCAAGGCATCTTTGCAATCTAACTTGCCTCTACATTTCCAAATCATGAAAGAAGCTTGAAGATAGGACAATGGAAAATGAAAAAAGAGACACAAGAAGACCAATAGCTCCAACCCCTTCTAATTATGAAAGGGAAAGAAACTTTCTAGAAGAGAATAACTACTTGCATAGACCAAGGAGGCAAGTAGGCAAAGACATGCAAAATGAAAGGATTTCCAAACTTAGGGAAAATTCATTTCTAAAATCTAATTCTTCAATGGTCAATTTTACTAGTCATTCTTTTTTGCTTGCCTTGGTCTAAAAGGAATATTTACCACACCTAACATAATCATAGGAACAATCATCAAGGAACAAATGGCAAACAAATTAGTTTTGGCTGACCATCACATTACAGTGAAATATAAGATATATCCAAAAGTTAAAAAAAAAAATTGTTTAAATGTGTATAATACCGATTACTGCATTGATGAAGTATTTGAATTGGACCACTTATCTCCCATAAAGACATTGTAGCACAAATTCATAAGTTCAATAAAGCATTAGATTTTACTTTCCGAGAAACACCAAAATCATTTCTAGTAAAAAAAAAAAAAATAACGTATCGGAGTTTCCCACTGTTGAGACCACTGGAAATAAAACTGAATAGTAGCATTATTGCTATGATATCAGTGTATAACTGCTGCCAGTTGTTGAATAAATTACACCCACCAAAATTATATTTTGTGCACCTGAAATAGAAGATTGATGAATAAAATTCTAAGCTTTAGGATACATTATTTTGCAGTAAAGCATGATTGCAGTACGAGTCCTAACCTCACTGTTCAAAGAGAAAGTTCTCATCAACCTTCCTCCCAGTCCACATCTTCATCTTCATCCACATCTGCTGGAGCAACATCAGCTTGAACATTCAAATCATTGACCTTGTAATTTTCATTTCCAGTACCTGTTTGAAAGCCACCCAGATAAACATAAGTGAAACAAATAAAAAAGAAACATAAAAAGGAGGCAGTCATTCTGCAATATGTGTGATCGGAGAAATAATACAGAAGGTACAATACTTAGTCCCATCATCAACAACATTTTAAGACTTGTCTCTAGAATATATGACTTCCTGGCTTTAAGATGAAGAAGAAGGAAGAGCACATTATATGTATAATTCAAAGTACATTATATTACTATGCTTGAGGTAAGCATTTCAAAGATGATAAAAAGCCAATTCTAGTTTTGAAAATCATAAAAATATCAATTTTAAAGGTTCAACGTACTAATCCAAACTAATCATGAAAAAACTGTTAATCTTCAGTCAAATACACTTTATTATCCTAATAATTTAATGTTTTAATACACTTTCTATCCAAATTTATAGTATTAAGCCCCTTCCAGTTAGGTTTATCATCTTGTACAACAATATACAAAGCTAAAATTTTTATTCAGTAGTAATAGATTAATAACTGTAACCTATAACTATAGTTATTAACCTATAACTATAGATTAATAACTGTAACCTATAACTTAAGACACCGCGACAACTGTCCTTCCACCTTTAGGAACTACCAACAAGGATTGCATTACATAATCCTAATTGTTTTTACCATAGCCATCATTGCCAAGACACTATGCCAATGTTGCAACTGGCAATGTCAGTTAGAAAACTCGTCAACCTCAAAACTAATGATGAAAACTAAACATCATAGTAACCCCAACCGTGATAGAAGCATTTAATTTCACATTCGTGTTTTCAAAAAATTGACTCTTGTAACACATCCAGCTTTCCAAACCACTAGGATCAGCAGTGGAGGGGTTTCAACAGTATGCATGCACGAGGTCAAATTTCAGTATAATCATATTTAAAAATAAAATCCAATTTTCCATTTAATTATTTCACGAGTGTAATTAAGTCATAAAATTTGTCCTCATTTGGATTAGCAAAGTCTCATGTCAAAAAGTAAAAAAGAAAAGATTCTCCCAAATTTTCTGATTCCCATCCTTAAAAGTATTTTAACAATTTGGATACCCCAGTAAAACAAAGCCACAGCAAATTACAGAAATCCATTTCCCAGCTCCTATTATTCAGGTTCATCTAACAAACAACCAGATGAATGTGGTCCAAAGTTCAAAGCAGGAAAAGTCTGGTGACCAACTGATTCTAAGCAAACTAATTAACTTGCTCTTAATTATTGGTTGACGCTGAGAACATGGATTGGAACAATGATGGAGTAACCTAAAATAATCTTAAATTGATAAAAAGGACAAGGGCGTAAAATCTAAAGATGAATATAAGGTGATAACAATCCATATTAAGATTAAACGGACAGTTTCAATCAATTGAATCAAATTTTCAATCAGTACTACCGTAAAAATCTAAATGAAACATTGTCCGGAAAACACAATGAAAAATAAATTCTTTTTACTGAGCATCTAGATTTGTAAAGGCACATATAAACACTGTTCCAAGATGTCCTCAAATCACCTTCAAAAGACAAATTACCTGCAACTGGTGCTTGCTCCCAGTCTGTACCATCATCATCATCATCTTCCTCATGTTTTGATTTGACGCCAATTTGACGAATAGAAGCACGGCTAGAAGGATCATTTCCAGTAAATGTATCTGACAAGTCTTGTTTTCTAGAAGCTTCCATTTCATGTTGTTGTTTAAGCAGAGCAGCATAATAAGCCTTGATATACTCATCCTACAAAGAGAAGAAAAAAACCAGAACATAAGTGAATAAAAGTTTGAGAACCTTCACATAGAAGGAGCAAGGAACTAAAGTGAAATAACAAGATAAAAGAAAAATAAAACAATAGCTTCTCAAATAGTACATGCCTGTATATTTTTTTTATCATCATGATCAACCGTTGATTTCTTGTCATCCGAGTACTGTGCTGATGTGGAAGTTGAAGTCCCATCCATTTTTATTTCCTCTTTCACCTCTCCTCGTTGTTCTTTTGTAAGAACCATCCCTGATTTTATCATCCATGGTGGCAAAACCTTTAGAGATGAACTTTCAGTTTCAGACTTAACATCATGTCTATTGCCTTCAGTCCCATTGAAGTCCACCACAACCTGTTGACATCCAGCACACCTTACATTTATTCATGTATCAATTATATTGAGACAAGGGAAAAGAAATGTTACATTAAACTGCTGGTAATTATATACTTCACAAGCTACATATACAAATATAAACCCAGAAAATCTAATGGATGGATGTTTGTACGAAATTAGATTAACCTATGAATGTCACATCGCATTTTTTCTACACATCTTAATACAATAAAAACCTGCCCATACTGGGGTTTGTTACTGATCCTTACTTAATCGGTCCCAAAGCCCAGATAAAACTTAAGAGGGATGTTAAGCAATTGAGGGATATGTAAAACTTCATTGAATTTCAGTGACATGGATCAATGAGATGATAATGTTGTGTCAATTTATTTCATATATCTGGTTTTACCAATTTAACTAAAAAATCACAGGTTGAACCAGTGACCATTAACCGAGTACCACAACTGAGTTTATCTCTGATCCGAGTCTAATAACATTGCATGGAGGTCAATACTAATGTGGGCATTGAAAGATTAATTACTGAAAGGGGATCAATTTTAAGTTATTTTATACTTTTGGTGGAAATTAGTAACATGGAGAAAAAAGAATCCAAGTGCAGAGACGGCGAAAATTATATTAGACTGTCGTACAACAAAGTATGAAATGACTATGGTGAAATATTATGTACTAAATTACAGTTAGCATTATTCCCAATCTGGTTCAAGACGAGGGAATGAAACAATGAAATCGTTTGTCACTTCATCAAGGAGAACTGATGACTACATCATAAAAGGTCTTTAGATGGAAAACATGTTAAGAAGCTGCTGATAGGTTTGGCATTGTCTATAGTAGAAGGAAAAAATCATGATAGTTAGGACAGTAATATCACAACTGTCACAGACTTTATAAAAACAGTCTGTTTAGGTGGGTGGGAGGATGTTATGTCTTTTGTATCTTAGTTTGGAGGAAAGGTTGTGGAGAGTAAGGTCTTTCGAAATACCTCCATAGTGATAATTCTTGTCTAATTTCGCTATTTCATTGGTAAGGAAATAGACCATGTGGGAATAAAGTGTATTTTTCTGTACAGTTCTCTTCCCGGACCTATCATTTGGTATCCAGAGTTGAGATCTTGGTTCTATGGAGGGGTGGAAAATAGGGTATGGTGAATACAAGAATGGAATAAAGAATGGATGACCCGGAAAAGATAGTTCAAGAATTGGTTCAAGTTCATGACAAGACTGAAAATGAACCGCATGAAGGGTTCAAGTGGTTGGAGAATATGAGCAGAGGTTTCACCGTGGTAGTGGAAAGAAGAGGAGGATAAGGGGCAGTCAGGGTTTTCCTCCAGATGAAGGAAATTGGACATCCCCATTTTTGCGGGAGAAGAGGCTTACAGATGGACAAATAGGCTGGAGAGATATTTCGGCTGAAGGAAGCTAATGACGATGAACGAGTCATGATTGCCTTAGAGGGAAAAGCCTTAAATTGGTTCCAGTGGTGAGAGACATGCAATCGAAATCCTACATGGGATGCTTTCAAGGTTGCTATTGTGCGGAGGTTTCAACCAACATGCTGAAAAACCCATTTGAAATCCTTATTGGATTATGGCAAACAGGTTTAGTGGACGAGTATATTGAACAATTTGAACAATATGCTGGGTTTTTGAAGGACACTCAACAAGACTACTTGGTCAGCATCTTCTTGAATGGGTTGAAAGAAGATATTAAAGCCAAAGTTGTATGAACCCAACAATCTTGTTGTGTTAATGTTGAAGGCTCAAATGGTGGAGGAAAAAGTCAAGTCACTTCACAAGGAGAATTTGAAAACTCCAACAGATCCAATAATGGATACAAACAGTTTTCGATGACAAGAAGCTTTGCAAGAGAGGGGGAAATTCTGTGGTTTCTGGTGGTTCTAGCAAAGGGATAGGGGAGGGCAGCAAATTGTCCAGTACCATGAGTAGTGCTCCAGGAATGCAAAGGCAAAGAGGAACTCCTTTTCGGAAATTGTAAGACAAGGAGCTACAAGATAAAATCAAGAAAGAGTTATGTTTTCGGTGTGACGAAAAGTTTGGCCCCAATCATGTGTGTAGGAACAAGCAATTTCACATGTTGCTTATGACAAAGGAGGACTTGACTGGTCTTGTGAATCCGCAGGGTAGTGCCGCTGAACAAACACAAGAGTTGGAAGAAATAGTGCAGGTTTTACAATTGTCCTTATGTACCATGGCTGGGCTTACCACTAAAAAGTCTTGGAAGTTTTGGGGAAAAATTAGTGATGTGAGGGTGGTTGTTTTGTTAGATTGTGGAGCTTCCCACAATTTAATTTGAAAGGATTTGTTAGATTGGGGATTAATGGCAATAGTCTAGGCAGTTCAGAAATGGAAGCACTATCTTATGGGCAGTCACTTTATTATACTCACGGACTAGAAGAGCTTAAAATTCCTCAATGAACGGCGTCTGCTGACTGAAGAGTAGTTTAAATGGGCTTCCAAACTCTTGGGGTATGACTTTGAGATTCGTTTCAGACCAGGAAGGAAAAACCAAGTGGCGGATACTTTATCACATCGAGTATATTTTATGGTTGTAAGCTTGTTTTGAATAGATGAATGGGAGACATGGGAAACCGAAGTCCAACAAGATGAGAAGTTAACCTCTTTAAGGCGTGATTTATTGGTAAATGGAAGTGCTCATAAGGGCAATGTATTGAAGAAAGGGAGGCTATTTTATCTAGGAAAATTGGTTTTACCCAAGAAGTATTCTCGCATTCCTTTTCTCATTAAGGAGCTACAGGAGTCTCCTTTAGGAGGTCACAGTGGGTATTTTCGAACCTATAAAAGGGTAGCTGGAATGGTTTATTGGGAAGGTATGAGGAGGGATATTAAAGAGTTTGTCATGAAATGTGATGTTTGTCAACGTAACAAAACAGAAACATTGGGCCCTGCTGGTCTTTTGCAACCATTGTCCATTCCTAATCAGGTCTAGTCTGATATATCCATGGACTTCATTGGAGGATTACCTAAAGTTGGAAGAAAAGATACTATTTTTATTGTTGTGGACAGACTTACAACATATGCACATCTTTTCCCTCTGGCTCATCCCTACACTGCAGTAGAAGTGGCTTGGTTATTCATTAGATAGGTGGTGAAACTCCATCCACAATAGTTTCAGATCGAGATCAGTTGTTCCTGTGTAATTTTTGGCACAGCCTACCATACTCAAACGGATGGTCAAACATAGGTTGTTAATCATTGTGTGGAAACCTATCTCTGCTGCATGCCAGGTTCTCAGCCTCATAAATGGCCACAATGGTTGCCATGGGCTGAATTTTGGTTTAACACCAATCATAGTGCCTTGACAAAGATGACTCCCTTTAAGGTCCTGTATGACCGTGATCCTTTGATTCTAAAGGGTATAACTATTCCTTCTAAAGTGGAAAGTATTAACCAGCTCCAACAAGAACGTAATGAAGTATTAAAGGAGTTGAAAATGAATTAGTGCAAAGCTCAAGATCAGAACCGTGTTCATGCTAACAAACACAGGAGGGAAGTGGAATACCAAGTGGGAGATTGGGTCTATCTTAAAATGCAGCCTTATCGCTTGAAATCTTTAGCAAAAAGACCCAATGAAAAACTTTTTCCTAGGTTCTATAGACCTTACAAGATTATTGAGAAAATTGGAATGGTCGCATATAAGTCGGACCTGCCCACTCACAGCAGAATCCACCCAGTGTTTCATGTGTCTCTCCTCAAAAGAGCAATCCAGCCAGCTACTGTTATCCAGCCTTTAGCTCCCACACGCACTGCAGAATTAATTTTAGATGTTCATCCAGAACAGTTACTAGACACCAGGACAAATAACCAAGGAGAATTGGAAGTCCTAATCAAATGGCAGCACCTTCCAAATTCGGACAACAGTTGGGCAGCGGCCTTTTCAATCAGCAAAAAATTTATAGATTTTCACCTTGAGGACAAGGTGAAACTTCATGTAGGGGGTATTGATAGGTTTGGCATTGTCTATAGTAGAAGGAAAAAAACATGACAGTTAGGACAGTTATGTTACAACTGTCATAAACTTTATAAAAACAGTCTGTTTAGGTGGGTGGGAGGATGTTATGTCTTTTATATCTTAGTTTGGAGGAAAGGTTGTGGAAAGTGAGGTCTCTCGAAATACCTCAGTTGTAATAGAATTCATGTCTAATTTCCCTAATTCATTGGTAAGGAAATAGACCATGTGGGAGTAAAGTGTATCTTTCTGTACACTTCTCTTACTGGGCCTATCAGCTTGCTACAGAGAAATGTCAAGACATTAATAACAAGTTGGAATTAAAGACATCCATGCAACATCTTGGAGGCATGTGAAATAAAAAACAAAATAAATAATTATGTAACTTTTATATATTACTTTCATTACTAGGACACTCATTTGTAGGACAGATATATTTCCTATTTGATTTCTTAGCAAGTTAGTATAAAGGGAGGTAGGTATCCACATACTTCAACTAAACAGATAAAATTTTCAGAAATTTCGATCTTTCAATTGTAGATGAAAAACAAAATAGAGAAAAGGGAGGAAAAGCATAATTATTTGGAGGATAAGATAAGAAAAGCAAGACAAAAATAATTAAATAAAAACAAGAATCAGAATAATTAGCAAGGTTATAACTGCCTGGCTTCTTTGCTTTGAAGAAATGATAATCCTTAAAACAGGAAATTCTTACCTTAGTATCCCCACTATAAGGCATTGGTGCTCCATTATATCCAAGCTGAGAAATTTTAGAATCACCAGCCATATCTCCGTTGGCTGCACGCCCCATAGCACTAGCTCGAGCTTCCCATGCTAGGAGACTACCAAATTCTGGAACTGGCAAATCTTTCACCCTGCTGAGTTGGTCCATTAAAGGCTTGAGCTGTATCTGCAACCACTTTCAATTTTATTTTAGCTTTTTTTGACAAAATAACAGAGTATAATCCATTGATTATCAATTATATGTAACCAATATAACTAAAGAGAAGAAAGAATGGAGTTTGACATGCAGTACACAAGTTTCATAGTCATATTTAGGAGTAGTTCGACTGGGTTGAGGTAGTACCAGCTAGTACTGCACTAGTTTATTACTTATTAGTATAAGTTGTACTGAGCTTGTACCAGCTGTTCTATCTTGTGGGTAGTCAGAAGTTATGGTAGCTTTCAATAGACACATGTCATTAACATTTCGGTTGCTTGCTCAGCACTCAGACTAACTATAAGTTTTCTGATATAACAAATTCAAAACAGTTAACGAAATCATGCTTTTCTCTCAGAAATTCCCTTTTCCACTTTTCTCTAAAATACTAACATTGTTTTCCATCAAAACCCTAAAATTTTAACAATGATCAAACATAAAACAAAATAAATTGCAGACCAGAAACACCAATAAATAAAGGCTAGCACAGTGCATTGTCTTACAAAAATTAAATAAACTCAAATGAGATTTGAGACAAGCCTAATATATCTAAATGAAATTCATGAAATAAAAGGTATTTTACAAGTCTTGTATAAGTCTAAGATATCTCAATGAAATTCATAAAATATAAGGTATTTTTCAAGTCCTGTATACAAAAGAGACCACATCAAGTCATAATACTTCTCAATTTGTTAATGGATTTATAGTACTATTGGTCATCAACTTTTCCAACAAAAAGACTAAATGACAGTTTAAGAACCTGAAAATAAGGATTCAGGTGTTGGACCTATTATCATTATCATGCCATACACATCCTATTATACTGTGGTATATATTTCAACTAGTGTCACCACCTAGCCCACATTGCCACCACTACATTTATGTCAACTAGTATCTTCAAGGGCACAAGCCCTACTCATTACACTAGGAACATTGTCCCATTTGGATAATTAGCAATTATAGCCATTTGGAGTGAGAACATTATCTCCTTTGTAGTCAAGTATAGCCATAGGTTCCACAATAGGATGATTAGCAACATCATTTAGTAAGTAGGTTCAAGTGTGGGTCATGCAATAAGGCTAACTGGAATAATGTTTAAGTAGTACATGTTTTTTAAATGGAACCTCCAAATTGATAGGTCGATAACTTTTTGGGTCCATTAATGACAATTTTAGAACACCACATGTTGGCTTATACATTGGAATTGCATTGTTAGGGTATCATAGTTCTTGTTATGTATGGGTCCAAGATTCATGAGCCATTACGCGCCCAAACTAATGTTTGTTCCCAGATGGTGAGTAAAGATTTGTGGACAAACATGTGGATGGAGAACTCAACAGAAAAAANTGTGTAGGAACAAGCAATTTCACATGTTGCTTATGACAAAGGAGGACTTGACTGGTCTTGTGAATCCGCAGGGTAGTGCCGCTGAACAAACACAAGAGTTGGAAGAAATAGTGCAGGTTTTACAATTGTCCTTATGTACCATGGCTGGGCTTACCACTAAAAAGTCTTGGAAGTTTTGGGGAAAAATTAGTGATGTGAGGGTGGTTGTTTTGTTAGATTGTGGAGCTTCCCACAATTTAATTTGAAAGGATTTGTTAGATTGGGGATTAATGGCAATAGTCTAGGCAGTTCAGAAATGGAAGCACTATCTTATGGGCAGTCACTTTATTATACTCACGGACTAGAAGAGCTTAAAATTCCTCAATGAACGGCGTCTGCTGACTGAAGAGTAGTTTAAATGGGCTTCCAAACTCTTGGGGTATGACTTTGAGATTCGTTTCAGACCAGGAAGGAAAAACCAAGTGGCGGATACTTTATCACATCGAGTATATTTTATGGTTGTAAGCTTGTTTTGAATAGATGAATGGGAGACATGGGAAACCGAAGTCCAACAAGATGAGAAGTTAACCTCTTTAAGGCGTGATTTATTGGTAAATGGAAGTGCTCATAAGGGCAATGAATTGAAGAAAGGGAGGCTATTTTATCTAGGAAAATTGGTTTTACCCAAGAAGTATTCTCGCATTCCTTTTCTCATTAAGGAGCTACAGGAGTCTCCTTTAGGAGGTCACAGTGGGTATTTTCGAACCTATAAAAGGGTAGCTGGAATGGTTTATTGGGAAGGTATGAGGAGGGATATTAAAGAGTTTGTCATGAAATGTGATGTTTGTCAACGTAACAAAACAGAAACATTGGGCCCTGCTGGTCTTTTGCAACCATTGTCCATTCCTAATCAGGTCTAGTCTGATATATCCATGGACTTCATTGGAGGATTACCTAAAGTTGGAAGAAAAGATACTATTTTTATTGTTGTGGACAGACTTACAACATATGCACATCTTTTCCCTCTGGCTCATCCCTACACTGCAGTAGAAGTGGCTTGGTTATTCATTAGATAGGTGGTGAAACTCCATCCACAATAGTTTCAGATCGAGATCAGTTGTTCCTGTGTAATTTTTGGCACAGCCTACCATACTCAAACGGATGGTCAAACATAGGTTGTTAATCATTGTGTGGAAACCTATCTCTGCTGCATGCCAGGTTCTCAGCCTCATAAATGGCCACAATGGTTGCCATGGGCTGAATTTTGGTTTAACACCAATCATAGTGCCTTGACAAAGATGACTCCCTTTAAGGTCCTGTATGACCGTGATCCTTTGATTCTAAAGGGTATAACTATTCCTTCTAAAGTGGAAAGTATTAACCAGCTCCAACAAGAACGTAATGAAGTATTAAAGGAGTTGAAAATGAATTAGTGCAAAGCTCAAGATCAGAACCGTGTTCATGCTAACAAACACAGGAGGGAAGTGGAATACCAAGTGGGAGATTGGGTCTATCTTAAAATGCAGCCTTATCGCTTGAAATCTTTAGCAAAAAGACCCAATGAAAAACTTTTTCCTAGGTTCTATAGACCTTACAAGATTATTGAGAAAATTGGAATGGTCGCATATAAGTCGGACCTGCCCACTCACAGCAGAATCCACCCAGTGTTTCATGTGTCTCTCCTCAAAAGAGCAATCCAGCCAGCTACTGTTATCCAGCCTTTAGCTCCCACACGCACTGCAGAATTAATTTTAGATGTTCATCCAGAACAGTTACTAGACACCAGGACAAATAACCAAGGAGAATTGGAAGTCCTAATCAAATGGCAGCACCTTCCAAATTCGGACAACAGTTGGGCAGCGGCCTTTTCAATCAGCAAAAAATTTATAGATTTTCACCTTGAGGACAAGGTGAAACTTCATGTAGGGGGTATTGATAGGTTTGGCATTGTCTATAGTAGAAGGAAAAAAACATGACAGTTAGGACAGTTATGTTACAACTGTCATAAACTTTATAAAAACAGTCTGTTTAGGTGGGTGGGAGGATGTTATGTCTTTTATATCTTAGTTTGGAGGAAAGGTTGTGGAAAGTGAGGTCTCTCGAAATACCTCAGTTGTAATAGAATTCATGTCTAATTTCCCTAATTCATTGGTAAGGAAATAGACCATGTGGGAGTAAAGTGTATCTTTCTGTACACTTCTCTTACTGGGCCTATCAGCTTGCTACAGAGAAATGTCAAGACATTAATAACAAGTTGGAATTAAAGACATCCATGCAACATCTTGGAGGCATGTGAAATAAAAAACAAAATAAATAATTATGTAACTTTTATATATTACTTTCATTACTAGGACACTCATTTGTAGGACAGATATATTTCCTATTTGATTTCTTAGCAAGTTAGTATAAAGGGAGGTAGGTATCCACATACTTCAACTAAACAGATAAAATTTTCAGAAATTTCGATCTTTCAATTGTAGATGAAAAACAAAATAGAGAAAAGGGAGGAAAAGCATAATTATTTGGAGGATAAGATAAGAAAAGCAAGACAAAAATAATTAAATAAAAACAAGAATCAGAATAATTAGCAAGGTTATAACTGCCTGGCTTCTTTGCTTTGAAGAAATGATAATCCTTAAAACAGGAAATTCTTACCTTAGTATCCCCACTATAAGGCATTGGTGCTCCATTATATCCAAGCTGAGAAATTTTAGAATCACCAGCCATATCTCCGTTGGCTGCACGCCCCATAGCACTAGCTCGAGCTTCCCATGCTAGGAGACTACCAAATTCTGGAACTGGCAAATCTTTCACCCTGCTGAGTTGGTCCATTAAAGGCTTGAGCTGTATCTGCAACCACTTTCAATTTTATTTTAGCTTTTTTTGACAAAATAACAGAGTATAATCCATTGATTATCAATTATATGTAACCAATATAACTAAAGAGAAGAAAGAATGGAGTTTGACATGCAGTACACAAGTTTCATAGTCATATTTAGGAGTAGTACGACTGGGTTGAGGTAGTACCAGCTAGTACTGCACTAGTTTATTACTTATTAGTATAAGTTGTACTGAGCTTGTACCAGCTGTTCTATCTTGTGGGTAGTCAGAAGTTATGGTAGCTTTCAATAGACACATGTCATTAACATTTCGGTTGCTTGCTCAGCACTCAGACTAACTATAAGTTTTCTGATATAACAAATTCAAAACAGTTAACGAAATCATGCTTTTCTCTCAGAAATTCCCTTTTCCACTTTTCTCTAAAATACTAACATTGTTTTCCATCAAAACCCTAAAATTTTAACAATGATCAAACATAAAACAAAATAAATTGCAGACCAGAAACACCAATAAATAAATAAAGGCTAGCACAGTGCATTGTCTTACAAAAATTAAATAAACTCAAATGAGATTTGAGACAAGCCTAATATATCTAAATGAAATTCATGAAATAAAAGGTATTTTACAAGTCTTGTATAAGTCTAAGATATCTCAATGAAATTCATAAAATATAAGGTATTTTTCAAGTCCTGTATACAAAAGAGAGCACATCAAGTCATAATACTTCTCAATTTGTTAATGGATTTATAGTACTATTGGTCATCAACTTTTCCAACAAAAAGACTAAATGACAGTTTAAGAACCTGAAAATAAGGATTCAGGTGTTGGACCTATTATCATTATCATGCCATACACATCCTATTATACTGTGGTATATATTTCAACTAGTGTCACCACCTAGCCCACATTGCCACCACTACATTTATGTCATCTAGTATCTTCAAGGGCACAAGCCCTACTCATTACACTAGGAACATTGTCCCATTTGGATAATTAGCAATTATAGCCATTTGGAGTGATAACATTATCTCCTTTGTAGTCAAGTATAGCCATAGGTTCCACAATAGGATGATTAGCAACATCATTTAGTAAGTAGGTTCAAGTGTGGGTCATGCAATAAGGCTAACTGGAATAATGTTTAAGTAGTACATGTTTTTTAAATGGAACCTCCAAATTGATAGGTCGATAACTTTTTGGGTCCATTAATGACAATTTTAGAACACCACATGTTGGCTTATACATTGGAATTGCATTGTTAGGGTATCATAGTTCTTGTTATGTATGGGTCCAAGATTCATGAGCCATTACGCGCCCAAACTAATGTTTGTTCCCAGATGGTGAGTAAAGATTTGTGGACAAACATGTGGATGGAGAACTCAACAGAAAAAACTTGGCCTTGGATGGTGAGTAAGACTTGTGGACAAACATGAGGATAGAGCCATTGCCAACAATGATGCAAAGGGCATTGGTTAGATGAGGTAGGAAGCCAAGGAACTTTGCTGCATATGTCTGCACAAAATTGTGGTTTTTGCCACCATCAATACGAATGGTACTCTTGTGTGATAAACTGAGCCATAAACACAAACATTTTAGGGCAAGGGAGACTAGAAAGTGCATTTTTGCTAACGTGACTGTAGGGATAGCATAGAGGTCCTAAAGAATTTTAGACAGTGAAATGAAGTTGTCGCCCCAGGATTGTGTTGGGAACAAACAGATAATTGAACAAATAAAACAAGACTATGTTAACCTCACAGCAATTTTTATTCATAAATCAATACCTTTACGCTGTGAGACCTAATGATAGGAAATTAATCAATTCTAGCAATTGGTTGTGAAAACCATAATCAAGTAATCAATTTTAAAACAAAAGGATTCATAATATGAAGCCCAAAATAGAAGAAACAACATTGTAAAATCATGACAGAACCTCCATCTTTTGAAGCATGTCTTTTAACTTTTCATGTCGTCTTCTTCTTGCATTATCATCTCCATCAGCCGCTTCTTGAACAACAAACTTGTCACTTTCTACCTCAAGTTTTCCATTACAACTTTCACAATGGAAGTCGTCATCTTCAAAAGATACTAGCCGCAATGCATCCAGAGCATTGTATCTAATCAATTCAAATCCCCAAGTATTATGGAAACATAAAACAATTATTGATACTGAAATAAATTTGGAGTTATAATGGATTACTTAAACCTTTTTCCACACTTTGTACAGATATATTCTTCAATTGTGTTCTTGTTGTCCAATTCATCTTTCAGCAGCTTCTTCATGCGATGGATTCTGTACCTAACCACATCATATATCTGCAACAAACTTCAACGTAAAAATTTCTACAGATGCAGGAGCCATAATTTAAATTGATAACTGACTCAAAAATAGTGACAAGAGAGCATGCAAAATAAAAGAAAAACCACAAGAATCATGGAAGAGCAACATTTGTAGAAATATATATGGATGGGATTGAACTGGGAAGAGACAAACCTGTGCATAATCTAGACAACAGTAAGAGTGTGTGTGTAACTTGACCTTCTCTTCTCCCTCTTTTCCAGTCAGTTGAGCATCAACTGTAGCAGCTGTAGCAGCACTATACAATTTGGCTCCTTTTGCTGTCTGGAAATCGAGATAATATAGATCATAAGAAGAAAATACAGGCATCACTATTTGCATCATTAACAGCTAACATCCTAACACTCCAAACCTAATAATGAAAACTAATAAAACTCAGACAAGCATGAGAAAAATAAAAACACTGCCAAGTGATCCAATATATAATACTAATCACTGTGATACTTAAGCACTCCCTAGTACCCAAGCCCATATCAAAATAAAAAACTAGAATCCTATACTTAAAATGTGGGAGTGACGTCCCATCCTTGCATTGCATTTGTAGTCCTATGAAAAACACTGGCAAGTGATCCGAGTAAAGAGTTCAAATTAATAACTGAAGAATCATAAGGTGGCAAATGTTCCTTATTTTCAAGCCTATCAAAGACTAGCTAGGATGTTAAACTGTCTCACTATTAGTCAACCAAATATTTCATTAGCTGTAAGTTTTGAGTCGATTTCCAACTTATCTGTGTGATAGTTACTGCAATGTTGTGGTTTGAATGTTGAGATAGTCTATGAGAACAAGGCTCATCCTGATATGAGAATATACAAATGTATATTGATGACTTAACATGAGGCCTACCCATGCATGTAAGAGGGGTCACTAAGCAGAAGAGGTTCTCCCTTGCTTGTTCCCCTGGCTTTCAATGTACTTCTCTTCCGTTTCTCTATCTGAGTATCCCTATCTTCCTCATGAAACCCATAGCAGATAGGACTAAGGCTAAATTGTCCAGATAGAAGGCATATCATCTATTTATTATGGACACAGTAGCTTTGGTCAAGTTTGTGATATGCAATGTGCTCACTTATTGCTATAGCGTCAATAGGTGGCCCTTATCCCTCATCAAAGCCAAAAATAGATGCATAACGAATTTCATATGATTTGGCAACTCGAATTCTAAGAAATTGGTATTGGTTGCCTGGTCTCAAGTTTGTAAGCCATATATGGATGGTGGATTAGAAATTAGATCCGAAAGACAAATGAATGATGCTTCCATGTTAAAGTTGGGTTGGGAGTTAGTCTGACAACCAATGGACTTAATCAGAGCCAGGGTCTTCAAAATGGGGAAAATCATTGAGCACCATATTAGATCCTCTATATGGGTTGGTTTGAAGAACATTATGGCAATAATCCAGGAGAACTATGCTAGGTATATTGACACAGGAGATAATATTAACTTTTGGAGAGACACTTGGCTTGGGAAGCCCCTGATTCAAGTGATATATTCCCAATATTTTTCCTTGTATGCTGGAAGCATCAATCAAGGACATCAGACATAATGGAGATTGGGTTATTCCTCCTAGTCTTATACAAAAGTGTCCTTCTTTAGCTCCTAAGCTTTCTTTTAACAATCCTTCCACTTCTATTGTAGAGGATGCTAAAAGATGGAGTTTCACTAGCGCTTGTAACTTCAGTATTAAGGAAGCATTTCTATTTCTTCATCCTCCCCTCCTTCCAAAGCTATTCTATTCTGGAGATTGTACAACAAAAAAATTCCTAAGTATGAGAATCCTAGATTAAGAGGGTGCATAAATGTCTCTATTAGTTGCTTTTGTTGTATGAGGTTGAAACCTCACCACACATTTTTTTTAATTGACAGTTGCTTCACCTTCTACGATTGGTTCACTAACAAAATTCATCAAAACCTGAATTTTCAACAGATACTACTATGCCATGCACCAGGTTGTGGGGAAAAAAACAAGAGATTTTTGACGACCGCTTGTGCCTATATTATTGCTGAGAAATGGGAATCAGGAACAGTATTAGGTTTGACAGGAAGCCTCTGATCCTCGTTTGTCAAAAACCATATTTCAAGTCTTGTAAAACTGGTTGGTACTAATTGTGAAAGTCACATGAAGTCTTCAATAGAGGAATTCAACACTCTAAAAGAATTCTTCACTGAAATTAAATGCAACAACAAGAGCAAGACCATTCGAGTTGAATGGAAAACCCCACCATACATGTGGATCAAATGCAATACAGATGGTGCTGCAAAAGGTGTGCCTAGCCAGCTGGGAAGGATGTAATTTTAGAGACAACAGTGTTGCAGTCTTAGGTTCTTTTGTTGTTAAGCCAGGGCATAAATTTGCTCTACAAGCCGAACATTATGTTGTCATGACTGTCATTGATACAGCCAAGTATAAAGGGTTGGAATTACCTTCGGTTAGAATGTGATGTTTGAACTGTCATTAATACTTTTAAATCTGTGGATCACATGCCTTGTAGACTAAGAAAAAAATGGTCTAATTGCTTATATTACACTAATAGGATTAATTTATTGGTATCTCACATATAGGGAAAGTAGAAGTTGTGTAGATAAACTTTCTACTTTTTCTATTAATGTAGTGTGTTGTTTGGTGGGATACCATTCCCCATTCATCTAGGAACCGTAATGGATTACCTTCTTAAAGGTTTCTATAGTGTTTGGTCTATGTTGCCCCACAATTTTATAAATTCCCTCTCTCTATCTGCACACACACACACACACATATTTCTTAGGAATAAAACAAACAACAGAAACTGCTAAGTTGCAAGCCTAGCTGGAATTTTAGTCCATGATGCATATGCACTGGTTTTGCTTTTCTATAGTGTTTAGTCTATGTTGCCCCAAACTTTTGCAAATTCTCTCTCTCTCTCTGTGTCCACACACACACAGAGTTGCAATCCTAGCTGGAAATTTAGTCTGTACAGTGATGTCTATGCATTGTTTTTTCTTAAGTATGCAATGTATGGTCAATTATAAGAGAAGGCTGATATATACAGCTATGGTATTATAGCCCTAGAAATCATACGAAAACTGATGTGAAGAATGAGGAGGATGGTCGTGAATAGCTTCTTCAACAAGCTAGGAAACAGTGTGAGAGAGGCATGAAGTTGGAGCTTGTGGACAAGGTCATTAATGAGTATGATGCAGAAGAAGTAAACAAAATCGAAGAAATTGCATTGCTATGCACTCAGGCATCTACTGCAACAAGGCCAACCATGTCTGAATAGTGCTACTCAAAACCAGGAGCTTAGTGGAGCAAATGTGAAGAACTATGCCTATGTTTGTTTAAACAAACAAATATGATAAATAGGGAAGGCAGCTCTGCTGGTGCATCGAATGCCACTGTCAGCATTTTTGTTGTATCAACTCAATGATTATGAGATTTTAATCACTTTGA